AGTCCATAAAGTACAGGTATAGTCCATAAAGTACATGTATAGTCCATAAAGTACAGGTATAGTCCATAAAGTACAGGTATAGTCCATAAAGTACAGGTATAGTCCATAAAGTACAGGTATAGTCAATAAAGTACAGGTATAGTCAATAAAGTACAGGTATAGTCAATAAAGTACAGGTAAACATCTTTCTGGTATTGTTTACTTTCAGCCAAGCTCCTTCTGACATCAGCAGTGATATTCCTCTTCCTGTGTCCTCTTCTGAATCCGGATTGAACCTCCATCAGTACCCTTTTAATGTACTGTTGCAACCGCTTTTGAATTATCTTTAGCAAAATTTTATTGGCATGCGATATTAATATTATCCAATGATTTCCACATTCTCTTGGGTCATCTCTCTTTGGAATGAGCACAAATATGGATCTTTTTCAAACAGTTGTGAGGTAGCTATCTTCCAAATGTCTTGGTGTAGATGAGTGAGTGCCTTCAGTGCTGCAGCAGTCTGTTGAAAGATTTCAGTTTGTATTCCATCAATTCTTGGAGGCTTGTTCTTTACCGATGCCTTCAATGCACCTTAGACTTCTTCCTTCATTACCATTGGATCTTCATCATATGCTACCTCTTGAAATGGTTGAACATCATTCTTCTTGGTACAGTGACTCTATATATTCCTTCCAACTTCTGTTGATTTTTGCATCATTCAGTACTTTGCCCAGGGTATCCTTATAGTATTTCAAGCTGAGTCTTGAATCTTTCTTCAGTTCTTTCCACTTAAGAAGTGCTGGTCATATTCTTCCTTTTTGGTTTCCTAACTCCAGATATTTGCACATTTTATTATAATACTTTACTTTGTCATCTCCTGCTGCCTTTGAAATTTTCTGTTTAACTCTTTTACCTCCTCATTTCTTGCATTTTCTGTAGTATCTCTACACTCCAGAGCAAGTTTCTGAGTCTCTTCTGCCATCCATTTTTGTCTTTTTCCTTCTTGTCTTCTTAATGATCTTTTGGTTTCTTCCTGTAGGACGCCCTTGATGCCATCCCACAACTCTTCTGGTGTTCAGTCATTAGTGTCTAATGCATCAAATCTCTTCTTGAGATGATCTCTAAATTCAGGTGTGGTATGTTCAAGGTCACATTTTGGTTCTCACGGACTTGTTTTAATATTCTTCAGCTTCAGCCTGAATTTGTATATGAGCAATTGATGGTCTGTTCCACATTCTAACCCTGGACTTGTTTTGGCTGATGATATGGAGCTTTTCCATCATCTCTTTCCACAGATGTAGTCGGTTTGTTTTCTGTGTCTTCCATCTGGTGAGGTCCATGTGTATAATCATCTCTTATGCTGTCTATAGAAGGTATTTGAAATGAACAAATCATTGTTTTGCAAAATTCTGTCATGCTATCTCCAGCATCATTTCTGTCACCAAGGCCGTATTTTCCAACTACTGATCCTTCTTCATTTCCAACCTTTGCATTCCAATCACCAGTAATTATCAATACATCGTGATTGCACATTTGATCAACTTCAGACTGACAAAGTTGGTAGAATTCTTCAGTTTCATCATCACTGGCTTTAGTGCATAAATTCATGCATTTGAATAATAGTGGTATTAACTGGTCTACCTTGTAGGTGTATGGATATTATCATACCACAGACAGCATTATACTTCAAGATGGATCTTGAAATGTCCTTTATGATAATGAATGTAACACCATTCCTCTTCAATATGTCATTCCTGGCATCATAAATCATGGGATTATGAGATTCAAAAGGGCCAATACCAATCCATTTCAGCTCACTAATGCCTAAGATATCGATGTATATATATTCCATTTCATTTTTGACAACATCCAGTTTTCTTAGAGTAATTTGGCACTAAATAATTTGGTTTCTTCTTAGGAAAATCACACTGATCAATTTTCCTGGGACAACCCCAATGTGCACCATTATCCCAGCAAATTTGTCAATAGTACCTGTATTTACTCTCAGAAGGCTCCTGATTTGGATAATAAATTAAATGGTCTCCTTTATACAAGCTTCTTCACATAGTCGCATTTGTATTTTAATCTAAAATTTCTTAAAATGGGGGATTAAGCTTTCCCTCATGTGTAAACCCATTTTCCCCAGAAAAAATATATCCATCTGAGTAGGCATAGGAGTCCTGGTGTGACAGTGCAGGATAAATACTGGACTGCTAACCACAAGGTCGTCAGTTTAAACCGTCCGCCTTTCCTTAGAGACCCTATATCGGGTCACTCTGAGTTGGAACAGAGTCCACAGTACTTAACAATAACATAAGGCTAGAAGTTTACTTTTCACTGCTTTTCAATAACAGTTTTGCTTTTATATCCTCTTTCCAACTCAAGGCAGAAGTTGTTTCCATAGCAGCAGAGTGCTGCTGATAGGTGGGACAGTGGTTTGGAATCCCTTCACTTACCTAGGCACTTGAATGCCTAGGCTGCCAGGTTCTGTTGTCTAGGGTTAGTTTCATCTTGCTGTGAGCATTTGCTGCAGCTGATCACATTGCGTTTAACTGTTATCATGAAACACATCAACTATAAAAAAAGAATATGTACAAATGGATGTGTATTTGAGAGAAAACTAAGAATAATAATTACAAACTCATAGCACTGGTTAATTGATTGTTCTTTCATGTATTTCTGGTAACCACCTCACTGACAAATGAGAAAACTGAAATTGGAGGAATGAAGTGACTTTCTCACTGTCACGTGGCTGCGCTGGACTTCAGCCAAGACAAGAGGCCAGGCGCCTGGTTCTAGGCGGGCACTAGGACCCATTCCTCTTCCCCAGTGATCATAACCTAGGTACACTATGTTTCACTTTCCTGCTCGCTTGATGTTTCCTAAGTAGTACTGTTGTTGTTGTTGTTGTTGTTAAGTACCGTCGAGTTGATTCCAACCCATAGTACCCTGTATAGGGTTTCTGAGGAGCAGCTGGTGAGCTTGAACCGTCGACCTTGCAATTCAAATGACTTTGCAGTCTGTTGCATTAACTCACAGCGCTACACCAGGACTCCACTATCTGCAAATACTAGGCAAGGCCTCTTAGGTTTTCTTCACAAAAATACAAACTATGCATAGTTTGAGGGAAAGTAGAATTAGTAATAGTCACCTAATTTCTTTCTCCAAGTATAGCACTCACCTGTCAGCCACAGCTCTGCCTCTGTCTAGGTAGCTAGTTTTGCAAACCTGTCCTAAAGACAGCCAGCAGGCTGCCTATCAAATCATCTTTTCTAGTCCTATGGAATAGCTGTTTTACTTACAAAGTGGAAATTCACATATGAAGTTCACATGAATTGCATGTTTGTTTCAGTATGTTTAATATGAAGGAGTC